GGGTGGAATTATTTACGAAACCGATGTACTACCCACTGCACTAAGGAGGCACCGGGTCTTACGGGAAAGGGCAATGGTTACACCCTGTGACCAGAGTGCTAAAAGCCGCTCGGCGGGGGTCCCGAAGGCACAGTGAAAATAGTGGCGATTTTTATACATTTCAGACCACAAACGAAAAGAACACTCCTGAACGGCACTGCCAGCCTGCTCAGGTCTGAGATAGGAAGCGAAGAGAGTTATTTCCAACTGTCCCTCTCGGACTGTCACTAAGTCATTCCGGCACCATTTCCGGAAGCTGGTCTCATGCTGAGGCTCTCCATCAGTGGTTCCAAGCTTTTTTTGGCCATGCCCCCCCAGCATCTCTAAAATCCTGACCCCCCTCCCCCCATGACATATAATTCTTATTATTCTAAAAGCCAGCTCCCATTCACGTGGAGGAAGCCTAAAAGGCCATGAACTTGGTCTACACAAGCTTCCAAAGAGCATGGCATCCATGAGAGAAAGAAAAGAACCGAAGGACAGCTGAAGTACCGAGAGAGAAATCACTAATTGTCAAAAAATGGTAATAATATGAAGTGATAGCAGCATAAGAAATGCAAAAAATTCACTAACAACCCGAATTGCCGTTAAAACCAACTGCCCCCTGGGGGGGGGGGTGCCCCCATTGGGAACCGCCGCTCTGCATGGTCTGACAGGGAGACCGGGGATGGAAGGGCAGTGAGGGGCGTCATCTCAGGGCTCTGGGGATTTAGTCCATCCCCCGGAGTGCTCTCAGGCCACTAACCACTGGAGCAGGCGCTGTGCCCCGGCTTACAGACACACGCGGGAAGGCCGTTCAGCCCCAGAACCCCCGTCAGCCTGCGGGGGAGGCACAGGCGGCCAGGCCGGGGGCGCGGAGCCTGCGTACTCCTGCGTTATTATTATTCACTGTTGTATTAGTTTCCATACGAACAACTGGAAACCTACTTTTGTCCCAGGCTGACTGAGTCCAGGCCCAACACTAGCAACTGCCTAACAAAATACGCTGAACACATCATTTGTCTGAAAACTGTGAGGTTTATATTCCTATGTGATTACAGAAAGTCATTAACATTTTAAAAAATATATTTTCATTGATTTCAGAGAGGAATGGAAAGGAAGAGAGAGATAGAAACATCAGTGATGAGAGAATCACTGACCGGCTGCCTCCTACACGAACGGTGACCCCCTGGTTCATAGGTCGGTGCTCAACCACTGAGCCACACTGGCCGGGGCCAGAAACAGTAATTTTTAAGAGTGGGTAGTAAGATTTATATTCCATCCACCAACTCTTTTAATATGAGTGCCATGCAAATAAAAATGTTAAGGCTTTTAGAGGTGAAACAATTATAAAAGAGAAAGTAAAAAAGACAGACAGACAAGCCCAGATAGGGGACCTGGAGCAGCCGCACCTCAGCCAGCGCTTTGTGACGGCGGGGAGTCTGTCACTGCAAACCACGCGGGAGGGGAGACTTCTGTTTCTGGACTCCGATCCCAGCGGCCATAAACGCCGTCCGGTAATGTCCCAGCCCCGCTCCGCTCAGGCTGCCGCAGAGCAGAGCGGCAGAAGCCGGCGGCCCCTCCCGGCCGGTCACAGCGTTGGCGGCTCGGGGAGGCGGCGCTGCGAACAGGCTGTCAAGGACAGCGGGGGCCGCGGCACTGGCCCGGGGAGGGGCCCTCTGAGAAGCAGGGGCGTTCGAGCCCTTCCTGAGGGGTGGTCCCGGGGCGAGGGGAGCTCCGTGCTGGGGACAGCCTCCCCTGAGCCTTTGCGCCAGAGGTTACGTGATGGGTGGCTCACCGGACACTCACAGCCCCGGCAGTGGTCACCGAGAGGGCCTCGCCTGCCTGCCCGGCTGCCGTTTTTGCGGCGCTGCCTCGCTGCGTCTGGGGGAACGGCAGCAGCACGAGGCTCTCAGGCCGGCCGGCGCGGGTGTTCCAGGGAACCCGGCGGCAGGACCCAGCCGCCCGTGCCCCGTGCCCCGCCGCCGAGGGGGACCGCCCGCCTGGGAGAGGACAGAGAGGGCCGTGGCCTCAGGAGAGCATCGCCAGAGCGGACAGCGCGCTGGGGGCCTGCCTCCCTCATAGGGAGCCCCAGTGCGTTCACACCTGCGCCTACACCCCGAGTCGCCTGCAGCGCTTGTGACAAAAGGGGACACAGTACAGTGTGAGCTTCGGCGAAAGAACACATCTCGGCTGTGACGCTGGAACGTCTGCATTAGTTCTTACTCACTGAGGGGTCGCGCTGGGTTCAGACGCTGGCACCTTTATAAGCAGCGCATGTCCCCCTCCCCTTGTTCCTTTAGGTCAATGCCCCCAAAACAGCCCCGGCTGGACTTCTGCTCAGGAAGCACCTGGCTACATACTGGCAGCTTCCAGCACTTTGCAACTCCCAGAACCCAGGCCTGAGATACTCCCTCTGCTACATACTTTCATTTTCCAGTGTGAACTCAGCATGCACTCCTCTATCCCTCTCTCCCTTCTCTCCCTCCCTCTCTCCCCCTCTCTTCCTCTCTTTCCCCACAGACAGTGTGCAGCCACCTGTTTTATAGCCACCGGCTGCCCGGTAAAAGCCGGAGGAAGGCATGGCCTCAGACACCCTCCAGCGTACCGAGGAGCATGCTTTGAGAACTGGGGTTTTCGCCCATGCCAGCTGGGAGAAAACCCGGCATGTACAGGAAGGCAGCAACATTTTCACCTATTTCCCGCTAAAGGGCCGCTGGAAAGTTCTGGTGGTTCTGGAAGTCCGTGTTGATAGGTATGACTAGTTAAATCCCCGCTTGTGTCTTTAAAGAGTGGAGGTGGTGAGAAAGAGGCCCGTAGGCTCATTTGTAAAACAAAGTAACTTTCCCTTTCCACTGTGGATAAGCTGCCCAAAGAACAACCCGCACTTAAACATCAGCTTCCCCTGCCGCCCCATCCCGCCACCCTCAGAGGGCAGGGGAGCAGTGTGCAGGGGACAGCTCAGAGGGCAGGGTAGCAGTGTGCAGGGGTGCAGTGTGCAGGGAAGCAGTGTGCAGGGGTGCAGTATGCAGGAGACAGCTCAGAGGGCAGGGGAGCAGTGTGCAGGGGACAGCTCAGAGGGCAGGGTAGCAGTGTGCAGGGGTGCAGTGTGCAGGGTAGCAGTGTGCAGGGGTGCAGTGTGCAGGGGAGCAGTGTGCAGGGGTGCAGTGTGCAGGGGGCAGCTCAGAGGGCAGGGGAGCAGTGTGCAGGGGTGCAGTGTGCAGGGGGCAGCTCAGAGGGCAGGGGTGCAGTGTGCAGGGGGACAGCTCAGGGGGCAGGGGTGCAGTGTGCAGGGGGACAGCTCAGGGGGCAGGGGTGCAGTGTGCAGGGGGACAGCTCAGGGGGCAGGGGAGCAGTGTGCAGGGGACAGCTCAGAGGGCAGAGGGACAGCTGAGGGGGCAGGGGTGCAGTGTGCAGGGGAGCAGTGTGCAGGGGTGCAGTGTGCAGGGGGCAGCTCAGAGGGCAGGGGAGCAGTGTGCAGGGGGCAGCTCAGAGGGCAGGGGTGCAGTGTGCAGGGGGACAGCTCAGGGGGCAGGGGTGCAGTGTGCAGGGGGACAGCTCAGGGGGCAGGGGAGCAGTGTGCAGGGGACAGCTCAGAGGGCAGAGGGACAGCTCAGGGGGCAGGGGTGCAGTGTGCAGGGGACCGGACACGGGACAAGGGAAGGATGGACTGGGAGCAGCTGAGGCCTCGGCAGCTGTCCCCACAGCAAGGGACAACTCCTGCCTCGCTGACCCCGTGCTCACCCCAATCTCCCAGGGATTGCCCTCAGAAGGATCCACTCTCCTCTCAGGGTGCCCCCTCTCCGCTCAGGGTGCACCCCTCTCCGCTCAGGGTGTACCCCTCTCCGCTCAGGGTGCTCCCTCTCATCTCAGGGTGCCCCCTCTCAGCTCAGGGTGCCCGCTCTCTGCTCAGGGTGCCTGATCTCAGCTCAGGGTGCCCCCTCTCCGCTCAGGGTGCAACCCGGCTCGGGCGCGGGTTCCCGGGAGAGGCGGGAGCAGAGGGAGGCGCACTCTGGGGCGCACCGCTAACCCGAAGGTAAGGTCTGTCCTAAGCCGGCGACCCGCGACTCGGGCCGTTTCTGGGGAGAAATGGGGTTCAAAGGGCCTCGTCTGAGATGGCGAAGGAGCCCCCCGAGGCGTCAGGGGCCCAGGCCCCAGGTCCCTGGTCCGAAGCCTCCCGCCCGCCGCCCAGCCCGGCGCCCGAGCGGAGCGCGGCGGTACCTGGTTCTGTCTCCGAAGGGCCACATGGCGGCGCGGGGCGCGGGCCCGGAACCCGGAGCCGGCAGCGCGGACCCCGGACCCCGCCCGGGGAGGCGGCCCCGGAGCGGCGCCTAGCGCCCCCGCCGCCCGCTCGCCGCGCGCGGAGCCAGGACCGGCCGCCCCGCCATCGCCGGCCCCGCACCGTCCGTGCGCCGCTCCCTCCGCCGCCGCCTCGGCGCCTCCGCTCCCCGCGCTTCCCACGGCGCCTCCCGGGGGACCGCGTCCCCGCCCCGCCCGCCTGGCCCCGGCCCAGCGGGGTGGCCCCGGGCGCTCCACCCGCCCCAGACCCGCTCCGCCCGCCCGGAGCCGGAGCCCGGAGCCCCGAGCGGGCGGCGGAGGGGGCGCGGGCCGGGAGGGGACCGCTCCGCACTCACCGGAGCTCCCGCCGCCGCCCCGGCTCGGCTCCCGCCGCCGGCCGCGCGGGGCCGGGGGAGGAGCGGCCGCCGGGCGGGGCCGGGCTTCCGGGCGCGGGGCCGGGGCTCGGGCTGCGGGAGGCGCCGGGACGTCTTTGTGTTTGAACTTCGGGAGCGAGTTGGACCGGGTCCACGCTCGGCACTTCGCCGGCGCTCGCCTCCAAGCCCAGGTCCCGGCACCGGACCGGACCGGACCGGACCGGGACCTGGAGCGAGGCCGGGCCCGCGCTGCCCCCGCTGCGGGGGGAGAGCGGGGCTGCGGGGGGAGAGCGGGGCCAGCCAGGTCCCAGCCCGGCCCGGCCCGCTCACCTGGAGGCTTTCCGCACGAAGTAGGAGAAGGCGAAGTCGCGGTGGTCGTCCAGCCAGGCCTCCACCGACTCCGGCCGCTCCATGCCCGCCGCCCCGCGCCCGGGCCGTCCTCCCGACTCCCGCCTCCCGCCTCCGCGCCTCCCGGTCCGGTCCGGCTCGGGCTCCGGAGCTGCGCGGGCGCCCCGCCAGCCGCCCCGCCTCGCCCCGCCTCCCGGTCCCTCCAGGTGCGGCGGGCGGGGCCGGAGCAGCCGCGCCCCCGGGGAGGGAGGGTGAGGGTCCGGCCCAGACCGGCTCCGGAGTCCCGGGCCCGCTCCGCGGCGGCGGCGGCGGCGGCAGGCTCCCCGGAAGCCGGTGCCACGGCCCCAGGCCGCGCGTCCACCGGGGTGCGCTGCGCCCGCGCGGCCGGGGCGCCCAGAGGGGATGGGTGTGGGGGTGTCCGTTCCTCTGGGAAAGGGAGGGAGACTGGGACCCGTCCCCGCGCAGAGCGAGCAGGGGAGCGTCCCCAGGAGGAGAGGGTGCCCCCCTGGCCCTCCTCCTCCGCGCCCTGCTCTGGAGCGGGGGAGCCGCGGACCCCCTCCCACCTGCCGCTCAGCGCGGGGCGCGGGCCTTCGGGACAGGTTTGCGGGCGACTTCCAACATGGCTTTGCTGGGCTCTGCTCATAACAGCAATAATCTCTATAAATTATGTGCCTGTGCATCAAACACCCTCCTCATGACCTAGACAGAGATCTCCTGTGAAAGGGGGCTTCCCGCGATGCATGGCCTGTGTGCCCAGAGCACAGGGCGCCGCATGCCATCCTCTTCTCTTGGGCCAGGGGCAGGAGGGCACAGGCACTGGAGCCCCTCCCGCAAGTTCAAATCCCGCCGCAATGTCCTGAATGGACTGAACTGGCCCCTTCAGAGGGCCTGGCCTCCCCCGCCCTGTCCTCGCTCTGTGGCTGCTCTTCAGAAAGCAATGTGTGTCTGCCTCTGCTTTGTTCTGTCTCCATACCTCCGGAGCACCTGCCCTTTTAATCTGGTGTTTTGTTTTTGTTTTTCCAATAAACTAAGTTTTGGGGCAGAATTTTGGGACCTTGTCTGTCTCACAGCATGGGAAGGACCTATGTATGAGCCGTGATGTACCCACAGCGATGACCATACTTACATCCCACAAACGCCTTTCAAACTGTGCTTGGCAGCGGTGAGAGAAACGACTACCACATAACACCACGTAATGAACTTGAGACCTGAGAGCTTTACACCTGTGCCCTGGTCCCTCCTGCAGGGGCTAAGTGTCCTTTGTAAGGTCAGCTTCTCTGGAGCTTTGCTGCTGTAGACAAGTAACCACGACCCCACACCACATCGATTATATCAGGTTGTACAGGAGGGTTGCCAGGAGGGTTTCTGGAAAATTCCTGCAAGAGAAGCAATTCCTGCCGCACCCCTCCCCCCCATCCCTGAGCCCTGCGGAAGGCGGTGGGTCAGTGGGAGGGTGGGCTGAGGGTGTGAAACTCTTCTCTCTGCAGGATGTTGGTAGCAACACCTCTTGGAACCGGAATCTATCCACAGGCAAGCATATTCAGAATGGGTTCCTATTTTCCAGCTCTAGTTTATTATTATCTCCTCGTGCTCAGTTATTTCATGTGGTAACGCACTGGTATGGATTGCTCTAAGCTTCTCAAATCTCCTCTTAGAGTGAGTTGAGGAAGAAGTAAGTGACAAACATCCCCAGGAAATAGCACCCAGGACACTTCATGCTGTTCACAACACACACGTGTGTAGCGGACTAACCGGGAGGTCTCCGTGCTGTGAGAATGAAGCGCCTGCCTGTGGAGGTTCCCCTGGATTTCCTTTTATCCGCCTCTCCTGTCCAAAGTTTGGATTTCCCAAGTGGAAAAGCAGACACACAAGACCGTGGGTGACCAGATTCCTTTCCCCAAAGGGGTGACACCAGCGGGAGGAGTGATGGTGTCCTCCCTGCCTTGCCTTTAAAAACAACCAGAGAACACCACTCACCCAGCACCATCTGGTCTCCGGCCTCTTCATCAATCCTGTGTTCTATGCTTGAGATAATTGGGTGAATGTATTTACACATAAAAGGGATCCACCTTCCTCACTGTGGAAGGGGAAAGACCAGAAGGTACGTGGTGTTGAAATGAAGTTAAAGCTCAGTGTGTGTGTGTGTATGTATGTGAGAGAGAGAGAGACAGAGAGAGAGAAAGCATGCATCATATGGGAAATTTCACATGCAGGCTGTTTCAAAGAGCCGTGGGCAGCCATTAGCTAACAGCTCACAAGGAGCTAGAGCAAGAAAGACCTCGGTCTTAAAACCGAGAGAAGCTGAACACTGCCAACAACCCTAGTGAGTGCAGTCGTAGGCATTTCCCCAGTCAGCCCTCACTTAAGACCACAATCCCAGCCAATACCTGGATTGCACCCTTGAGAGATGCTAAGAAAAACATCTTCGTAATTGACATCTTAATAACATCAAGGCCCACAGTCCATGAACATGATATACTTACCTACCCATTTCAGCCTTTCAATTTTTTTCCTAGCAACATCTTATAGTTTTTTATGTATACATCTTGTATGCATTTTTTAAAATTTATGAATATGTACCATACTAGAGGCCCAGTGCATGAGAATTCATGCACTGGACAGGAGTCCCTCAGCCTAGCCTGCCCCTTCTCACAGTCCAGGGGTCCTCAGGGGTGGGAGATGATCTGGCGATCAGGGGGAAGGGATGCTTCATCACATCTCTGCTGCTGCCACTGCGGGCAGCAAAGCCTTGGCCGGCCCTCATTACCTGAGCCTTGGGCAGCCCTGGGCGGCTGGCAGCCGCTATCTGAGGCTTGTCTGTGCCTTGGGCATGCCCTGGGCGGCTGAGGGGCTAAAGGGACTGAGGGATTCTGGAGGCAGGAGCCTCAGCAGGGCTTAGCGGACTGGTTCCACCAGCTTGTGGCTGTGGGCACTGCCATCTTTGAGGGCATGGCAGTCAATTAGCATATTCCCTGCTTATTGGCTGTGGATGCCACCATCTTTGAGAGCTGGGCAGTCAATTAGCATATTTCCTCCTTATTGGCTGTGGTGTGAGAGCCAATTAGCATACTTCCTCTTTATTAGATAGAATTTTCCATGTATAAGGAAAAAAATAGTGTGTTATTCACGGAAAAATACGGTATATTCCAGCTCCGTCACTTTGAGATGCTGGAAGCGATGACATTCCAGGAGCAGTGAGTGAGTACACTTAGTGCCCGCATTTTGGCTACTAAATACCACTCTTCACTTTAAAAAGAAGCCAGGCGTCTTGGAGAAAAGATCCAGGTCTGGGACCTAGAAAGTACAGAATGTACCTGAAAAATCTTGTTTTACCAGAAAGTGAGAAAGGCTTAACAACGATGCCAATACATCCGAAGGACAGAAGATACATCTGAAGGGAGTGTACAATTTGAATATCATTTACTGCAGCTCCATACTGATATCAATAAACAACTAGATAAGCAAATAAACAGGAGGGCGTGGTCCTCACAGGGGAGTGGCACCTGGTGATTATTCAAGGGACCGTGCATTGATGATTAGGGAAGCATTAATGATTGCTCCGATGACGGGGGAGCACTATGAAGAGTGGATTTCTACAGGAAGTATCTTCTTACAAGTCACTTATTTGTTACCATAGGAAAAAGGTAACTGTCCTTCCTGGGAAAGACCTTCAGATCAATCTAGAATCACTTCTATTGGGATGAGTAACCCCTTTCAACAGGCTGTGCAGAGAAGGACACAGCTTACTTAGGTCTTACTAGGCGCCCGGTGCATGAAATTCATGCACCGTCTACAGTCCAGGAGCTCTCAGGGGATGTCCTACTGATGGCTCAGGCCCACTCCCCGTGGTTCGCTGCTCTCTGCAGGCCTGGAGGTTCCACTGCAGCCATGGAGGTGAAGCCCCATGCCCTGCTCTCCCCTCTCTGCCTGCCACCACCATGCGCCATGCGAAGGAAGCCCCAGTGCCCTGCTATCTGGGCTCTGTCTGCCAGGCTTGGGGGCTTTCCTGACACTGACACACTAAGGAAGTCCCCTGTTGTCCTGGCTCTGCCTGCTGGGCCTGGGCGTGTTCCCATCCCCTCTGCCTAAGGAAGCCCCCAAGCCCTGCTGTCCGGTCCGAGCTCTGTCTGCCATGTCTGGGGCCGCAAGCCTGTCCGGGTTCTGTCTCCCGCCGCTTGGTCCACGAGGGGCTGAGGGGCCCAGACGCTGCAGCACCAGTGGAGCAGGGAGGCTGGATCTGCTCCCTCGGGCAGACAGGCCCAGACACTCCAGCAGCGGGGCTGAGGGACTGGGCACCATCTTGTGGCTACGCCATTTTTGTCGCAGAGTGATGGTTAATTTGCATATTACTCTTCTGTTAGATAGGATTCCTGCCATAAATCTGAATCTGTTCCTGATGGTTAAGAGGGATGTTCACACCAGCACAACCGGGCTCTGGGGGGCTTTCCACGGGGATTTGAAGGTTGGGAAAGACAAAGAGAGAAGGAGGAGCTTCATATTACTCACTGCAGTGTAGCAGGTTACCCCACCCCCTAAGAGCTTAAAGCCACACAACGGCTCTTCCTGAGGTCAGCCGGGTTAGGCAGCAGCCAGAGTGGCAGGCTCCTCGGAGCTGAGCTGCAGAGGGACCCCTTCCCCACTCCTCGGGCTGTTGGCAGAATTCGGCTCCTTGGATGCCAGAAAGGAGGGATTCCTCTCCTTGCTGGGTGCTGCTGGAGGCCCCGCCGGCTGTCAGCAGAGACCTCTCTGCCTGGAGGCCACCTTCGCTCCCTGGTCCCCCCAAGCCTCCTGCAGGCCCAGTCCGCAGGGAGACTCCTGTGAGGCAGGCGCTGTGCTCTCACAGGACATAGCCCCACGCTCATGTGCTCAGTCATGGTTACTTACATTCTGGCACCTTTGCTGAAAGCGAGTGGCAGTCCTGCCCTCACACAGGGCAGGGATCACGCCAGGAGGCAGGGGCCACTGGGGCCTCAGGAGTGACCCCATGTGACAGGCAGTGACCCCGTGTGACCGGCAGTGACCCCGTGTGACCAGGCAGTGACCCCGAGTGACAGGCAGTGACCTG